AAAAGAAAAGGAAGAGATGCCAGGGATTTCTCTCTCTCTCTCTCTCCCCCCACCACATGAAGACACAGAAAGAGGGCAGCCATCTACAAGCCAAGAAGAAAGTCCTCACCAGAATTCAACTATGCTGGCAACCTGATCTTGAATTTCTGGCCTCCAGAACTGTAAGAAATAAATTGCTGTTGTTTAATCCATCCAATCTATGATATACTGTTATGGTAGCCTGAACAAAGACGCAATATCTACGAAGATTAATGCAATTCGGTATAAATGGAAAGTATCTACCAAACGGTGGCTGTCACTATTTGCTTGAATGCAAAACTCACATTACTTGAGTGAAACTTCACTCTTGCAGAGGACCAAGGAAAAAATGATTCTGCTCTTTTGTAATTCTGGAGCAGGGAAAAGATTAAGACTGAGGTTGGATTGAGAAGCAAAGACAATGGATGGTGCAGAAAGATTGAATGGACATACTTTTCCCAATTTCTCCCAATAAATACAGCTAAGTACAAGGCAAAGACAACTCCCTTCTCTGACTCTAACAGCACCTTCTTTAATACAATTATAGTCTTTGGCAGTCACTCTACTTTGTTAGTAATTATCTTGAAAGATGTTCGCTGTGCTTCACAGCTAGTCCTCTGAAAATAGTCAATAAATGAATAAACTGTCTGCCTCAATCAAATGCACAGCTCTCTTTTCATTCTCCCATTCATACCCAACAGTCTTAATCCTAGCTCCAGACTTTGTTCGGGCTGGGCATGGTGGTTCATGCCTATAGTCCCAGCACTTTGAGAGGGCAAGGCAGGAAGATTGCTTGAGGGCAGGAGTTCAAAACCAGCCTGGGCAACACAGCGAGACCCCATCTCTACAAAAAAAAATATTTAAACTTACACAGACATGGTGACTTGTACCTGTTGTCCTAACTTCTTGGGAGGCTGAGGTGGGAGAACTCCTAGAGCCCAGGAGTCCGAGGCTGCAGTGAACTATGATCACGCTACCGCACTCTAGCTTGGGCAACAGTGAGACGCTGTCTCCAAAAAGGAAAAAAAGGACTTTGTTCATCCTCCTCCCACTGTGAGAAAACCTTCTCTTCAATTTTCTTTTCTTTCTTTTTTTTTTCAGGCAGTCTTGCTCTGTCACCCAAGCTGGGGTGCAATGGCCTCATCTCAGCTCACCACAACCTCCACTTCCTGGGTTCAAGGGATTCTCCTGCCTCTGCCTCTCAAGTAGCTGGGATTACAGGTGTGCATCAGGACATGCTGGTTAATTTTTTTATTATTTTTTTTTGTGTGTGTATTTTTAGTAGAGACGGGGTTTTGCTATGTTGACCAGGCTGGTCTTGATTCGCCCGCCTCAGCCTCCCAAAGTGCTGGGATTACAGGCATGAACCACCATGCCTGGCCCTCTTTTCAGTTTTCCATCTGGCCACACCTTACCCATTTGCTAAAGTCTTAATGTTGTGTCACCCAAAATTTATATGTTGAAATCCTAACTCCCAAGGTGATAGTATTAGGAGCTGGGGCTTTTTTGGGAGGTGATCCAACCCACCTTCAAGAGTAAAATTAGTGCCCTTTTAAAAGATGCTCCAGAGAGCTGCTTTGCCATCCCACCATGTCAGGACACAGCCAGAAGCCACCTATGAACCAGGAAACAGGCCCTCACCAGACACCAAATCTGCTGGCACCTCGTACTCTCCAGCCTCCAGAATTGCGAGAAATAAATTTCTGTTGTTCATAAGCTACCTAGTTTATGACATTCTGTTATAGAAGCCCAAATTGACTAAGACATCGTCTTTCATCGCTTGGTTTAAGTGGTTCTCAACCAAGTCAAGGGACATTTAGCAGTATCTGTAGACATTGTGGTTGGCATCTAGTAAGCAGAGGCCAGAGATGCTCTTAAAAATCCTACTATACACAGGACAGCCCTCATCACAGCCCCACAGCAAAAAAGAATCTAGCCTAAAATGTCAATAGTGCATCAGGTAAGAATAACTGGTTTAAATTAATCTCTCTTGGATGCCTCCCCAGCTAATAACACTGATCTTTTCTTCCCGGTACCTATGATCTCCAAGAAAGTTTAGAACAAGGTTGTGCATTTCCTGAGTTTTTTTTATCTGCGTGTTATTTATAGACAATATGCTGACTTGCTTTAAATCCGTGGGAGCCTGGTACAAGTCAGCAAGAGCTGCCTCTCCTTTTTCAACATTCAAGGATATACCCCTCTGTCTGAATCCTTCTCTTGTACAATCGCCTGTTCCTTCCCTCATGCTACCATTATCCATATCACATGCACATACACACAACATACTCTTATTATGAAACTCATCACAGCTATTTGCTCACATCTGCAGCTCCTTTATTCTGAGAACTCCTTAAAACTAGAACCCTGATATATTCTATTGCATATAAAGCAGTTTCTCACACAAAATGGGGGATCAATAAAGATTTGGCAAGTTACAAAAATAATAACAGACATCATCATTTCTAGGTCACCTAGAATGCCATAAACCGCTGTCCCGGCACTTCATTCTCCTTCTCGCCAATTCTCAGTGCAATGTACACAAGCGAAGAGGAAAGAGGTCCAGAGAGTCTATTCAAATGACCTGACCGTGGCCTTGCTTTTAAAGTCAGTTCAAACCAGATCTATTTGGATCAAAAATCCGTGGTTTTGCCCCTATCCTCCACACCTGGGGCTAAAGAATGGAGATGGCGTCTCGGACAGGAGGGTAAACTGTCCCAGACTCACTATTGTGGCGTGAGAAGTGCCACAACCATAATCCAGGTCGACGGACTCCCGGCTCTGGGTCCCCGTGGAGCGCCCCTGAGGGAGGCGACAACTCCCGCCACCCTCCCCAACACTGTCCCCCGCTTCTGCCCTACCTGGCTGCCTGAGCTGTCTCCGTCTGGTGCCACACCAACTTCCCCCACCTGGACCCACCTCCTTTCCTCATCCCCCTTCGCCTATCGCTGCAAAGTGAGCGCGGGCTCTTGCGTCATCAGCCGTCGCCGGCGAGTGATCACATGACGCCCCTCCTTGCTCCCCGCCGCTTCGGTCATGTGACAGCCTTGGGCGTCAGGGGACGGAAGCGGTACTCGAACCCGGTCCTGGTCGGGGACTGTGGTTAGAAGAGGACCGTCACCGTGAGGGAGGAGTGGGACCCAGGTGCGGACTCCGCGCGCGACCGCGTGCCCTGCGCGTGCGCCGCTGGCGCGGCCCTGCTGACAGGTGAGTGGGGATGCAGTGCGCGCGCCCCGTTTTTGCACTGCCCCCTTCCCCTCCCCGCTGGGCCGCGCTAGCCACGGGGAGGCTTGCAGCGTCGCGTGCAGCCTGGATGGGAGACTTGTGATGGAGGGCTTAGGGGTCTTCTGGGGCGGGGGCTGCAGTCCAGCTCTTCGTCTCCGCTTGGGGGAAATCATTTTACACACCCCTTCCTCGTTTTAGGAAGCGCCGTTGCGCTGCTGGGTCCGAATCTCACCCTCCCAAGTTTCCAGGAACACTGCTGTGTGGATACCGTCGTTATTTCTCTATTTGCTATTGAGAAAACTGAAAGGCTAGTGAGGACTTTTACAGTCTGACGGCCCAGATTTGCATTCTAGTTATGCCATGGGCTATGAGTTTGAGCAAGTCATTGCTGTTTGCTGCGCCTTAATGCCTTCACCTGTGACAGACTCATGCCAAAATCCTTTTCATTTTTGGGGGAAAAAATGTTCCCAGGGTCCTGATTACTCTATGATCGGACAGGAAAAAGAAAAAAGTCACAGAGCCATGCAACTGCGTCTCCTGATTGCAAGTGCGTGGAACTCCATCAAACATCAGTAAGAGGTAGTGAGCTAGAAGTTTTTCTTACTGTCTTTGTGCACAACAAGGGACACCTTCCCTAATTGTCCTACATCTGCCTTTCCCAGGATTTCAGGATCAGCCTCATTTCAGAACTTTTCTGGAAAACTTATGCAGCTTGCATTTATCTTGATCAACAACCATTATATTTTGTTTGTGATAATGGATTTATGGAGATTAGTGCTTCCTTTATGGAACTGAGGTTTTGCGAAAGGCTTAAAAATAAGAACTGCCTTTTATCCTCTGAATAGGGTAAACAGTGTTTTCCCACGACAGTTGGATTTCCTTAAGAAACATTGTTCTGTACTCTGAGTAATTGGTGTAATGATGGCATGTTTCATTCTTGAAAGCATGTCTTTTGATTAGGATTACCTCCCAAACTGAAAATCACAGTTCCATGCCAAATTCTTAAAAATGAAGTTACCAGCACTCTAACTTTTAAAAGAAAATGTAGTGGGATCTCTGGTTCCATTTGATGCCGATGGTAATATAGCCCGTGTTGAGAAAACTGATCTTTCAGAGTTTTCTTAATCCCTAGCATCAAAAGAACCTCTGAAAGGATAATTTAGCATTGCTGCTTCTACAGTGTTTATTTGGACCTAATTCTAAAGTGGTTTTTGAAGACTTAACTTTGTCATAACACTATGTAAAGCTATCCACCTACTTCCTAGGTAGCTACAACTTGCTTAGGCTTTTTTTTTTTTTTTTTTTTGAGATGGAATCTTGCTCTGCCACCAGGCTGGAATGCAGTGGCATGATCTTGGCTCAACCTCTGCCTCTGGGTTCAAGGGATTCTCCTGCCTCAGCCTTCCGAGTAGCTGGGACTATAAGCATGCGACACCACGCCCAGCTAATTTTTATATTTTTAATAGAGATGGGGTTTCACTATGTTGGCCAGGATGGTCTCAATCTCCTGATGTGATCTGCCCACCTTGGCCTCCCAAAGTGCTGGGATTACAGGTGTGAGCCACTGCTCCTGGCCAGGCATTTTTAATGATGATTCTTAGATTCTGTTCTTCACCACCAGTACTTCAACCAACAGAGGGCTATTTACCAAATACTCTAGCCAATTATATTTGTGCAAATTATGGAAATTCCATTTGTTACATGGAAAATATAACTAGTCCAGGTTAGGAGGTCTAGCACATAAAATGTAACTAAGTGATTTCCTTCTTTCAGTTAATCTCGTTTTAACTCCTTCCATCTTCAAAAACTTAGCAGGAGATACTTGCATTATTAGAAATAGAAAACACAAGTGCTCTTCATGGGGCAAAAGAGATTATAAGCAGTGAGTTCATTTCAGTAAAAGTATGTTAAATATAATTCATATTTTGATTTGGCATTAAAAAATTTAATATAAAGTTTATATATAGAATTTTAGAAAGGCGATTCACCTAAGTAATAAAGACCCATAATATTTGTTTTACTATTGCCAAACATATTTGATTATTATTAGCCTTCTCATGTTCCTTTAAAGTCGTCTACAGTATAATTTTAGAGTAAGGGCCTAAGGATTAAAATAAGAGATTCACATATAAAGGTCTTGATTTCTGTCATTATCCCAGACTGAAGCTTCCCTGAATGTGTGCATGCAGGTGCTGAATCTGTCTGTCCTTCTCTATGTTGGGAGAGAGTAGAGTCAAAGGCAGGTAGTGTTACTTTGCTGTAAGATGTTTTTCCCAGGGACACTGTTGTCCTGTCATGGTATCCAAAATCTGGTAGCCGTTGGACCTGTTCATCATAGCTTCCCCTCCTCTTTATGAGTCTAGATCAAGGGTTTCCAAACCAAGGCCTGCAGGCCACATGCGGCCCAGGATGGCGTTGAATGTGGCCCAAGACAAATTTGTAAATTTTCCTAACACATTTTGAGTTTTTTTGCAATTTTTTAAAAGATCATCAGCTATTGTCGGTATTAGTTTATTTTATGTGTGGCTCAAGACAATTCTTCTTGCAATATGGCCCAGGAAAGCTGAAAGATTGGACACCCCTGGTGTAAAGTTTCATCTACTTAGACCTGGGTTAGTTTGGTGGTCTTCAGAGGGCTTTAGTAGGTGACCGTTTTGCCCATTGTCCATTATTTCCCCTTTCCCTCTCTCCTTTCCCGAGCCAGACCATATCCATGCAGAAAATGAAATTTTCTGAAATTCAGCCTGTTGTGGTTTAACAAGCAAGCATCACAGAGGAAACTAAAAGAACTTGTTAATAATGTATGCCTTAATGTATATTAGCGGATACCTTCGTGAGCGTTCTAGACAGCTGTAGTGGCTTCTTGGCTCTCAGATCCAATCCAGTCTACTTCTTCTGTTTCTGCCCCTAGCTGACTCTGCTTTAGTCAGCTTGCTATTCCTTAGTACATCTAGAACATTCCTGCCCTGGGGCCTTTGCACTTGCTTGTAACCTCTGCTTGCAATGCCATTCTCAGGATCCTTAAATATTGCTGCATAATAAACTATGCCAAAACCTAGACAATAAACTTTATAGTACCTGTGATCAGGAGTCTCTTTGGGCTTAGCTGGCTGCCTTTGGCTCTGGGGCTTTTAGAACTTTGCAGTCAAACTTGGAACAAGGGGCTATGGTCTTATCTGAAGGCTGGACTGGGATTATAGAGATCTACTTTCAAGTTCACTCAGGTGGTTTTTGGCAAGCCCCAGTTCTTCATCATATGAGCTCCTCCACAGGGTTCTTTCACATCATAGCATCTTGCTTCCCCTAATCTAGCAAGCTAGAGAGGGTGACCAAGCCAGAAGTTAGTCTTTTTGCTATCTAATCTCAGAAGTGGTATCTTTCATTTCTGTTCTACTTCCTCTTCTTTTCTTTTTTTTTTTTTTTCCTTGAGATGGAGTCTTACTCTGTCATCCAGGTTGGAGTGCAGTGGTGCAATCTGAGTTCACTGCAGCCTCTGCTTCCTGGTTCATGGAATTCTGCCTCAGTCTCCCAAGTAGCTGCATGCCTTCCCTTGCAACAATCATTTTTCTTAGTTCTCAGGGCTAAGAAAGCAATCTGATTATAATAATATGGTAACTGGTTTCCGAAGATGGCTCCCAACAATTCCCTGCCGTTAAGTCAGTGCATAGAGCTCCTTAGGTGAAAGGGTGAACCTTATTTTCCCTTTCACTGAGTCTGGATTGAGTTTGTTTATTAGTTTGCTTGGCTGCCATAACAAAGCACCACAGACAGGGTGACTTAAACAAGATCAAGGTGTTGGTAGACTGTTTTCTTCTCAGGCTTCTCTCATTGGCTTGTAGCAGGCTATTTTCTTTCTGTGTCTTCACATGACCTTCCCATTGTTCCTTTCTTTTTATAGAGATGGGGTCTCACTATGTTGTCCAGGGCAGTCTCAAACTCCTGGGCTCAAGTGATCCTCCCATTCCAGCCTCCCAATGTGCCACAATTATAGACATGAGCTACCAAGCCTGGCCCTCCTTTGTATATTTCTGTGTCCAGATTTCCTCTTCTTACAAAGATACCAGTTATATTGGATTAGGGCCCATGCTAGTGACTTCATTTTAACTTAATCACCTCCTTAAAAACCCTGTCTCCAAATATAGTCACGTTCTGAGGTACTAAGTGTTAGGAATTCAACATAGAAATTCTGGGGGACCCAACTCAGCTCCTAACAGCTTGTGTCTTCCTTCCTTCAACCCAAAGAATACTGTAGAAGTAACTCTCTATCAATTCTAGGCCAAAGCCGTGAGGTCTGGCAATATCTCCTTTGGCTGTCTTTGGGTGTCCCAAGCTGCCATGTAAGATGTCTGGGAATCCTGCTAGAGAGATCACAGGAGTTACAAAGAGGAAAGACCATGCTGAGAGGGAAAAGTCCTGACACAGAAGAGCATGAAGAAAGCCAGCAGACAGCAAAAACTGAAGTGCTGACGTGTGATCTGGGTTGACCAGGTCCACTCAGCACCCAGCTCTTGAAGTCTTCCTAGTTGAAGTGCTAGACATGTAAGCATTCAGCTACTGCAGCCAGCCAAGCCCTCTGTCCCTTTTCCCAATTCCTAACCCACAGAATCATGATAAATTTTTAAAATATGGTATTGTTTTGGGCAAATAAGTCTTCGGGTAGTTTGCCATAGTGCTGAGATTGTTTTGAGGACTAACAGTACAAGTTGTCAATTTAAACAGCACGCTGATGCTGTTATTGTGATATTTCATTTTCTCTAATGCTGTGCAATAGTCACTGCTTCTGTTTAATAATGTCCATGTAGATATTTCTGTATCGTACTGCTGCATTTTTGTCCAATCTCTTTTCAGCTGTCTGCTTCTGCTGATTATTACAGTTGCCTTATAGGAATTGTGCCATTTGTCTTACCTTTGGAAAAAGAGAGCTGTGTCCTAAAAACCACCAGAAGTAGGTGAGGGAACATTCTTTAGAAATGTCTTTAGTCCTGGCAGCAGTGGCCCACACCTTTAATCCCAGCACTTTGGAAGGCCAGGGTAGGAGGACTGCTTGAGCTCAGGAGTTCAAGACCAGTCTGGGCAACAATAGTGAGAACTCATCTCTACTAAAAATCAAAAGAAATGTTAGCCAGGTATGGTGGTGCATGTCTGTAGTCCCACTGACAAGGGAGGCTGAGGGTGGGAGGATTGCTTGAGCCCTGGAGGTTGAGGCTGCGGTGAGCTCTGATCATGCCACTGTACTCCTGCCTGGGCGAGAGTGAAACCCGGTCTCAAAAACAAAAAGGTTTTCTCACATGCCAAGTATAGGAGATTCTTGCTATCAAGAATAGTTCACATCTGAAAAATGCTAGAGTGATTCTAAAGTATGGAAAAACATTTCATAAAAAGGAAAAGAAAAAGTTTTGATTACAAATGTATCTTGAAATTTATGAAAGTGAGCTCTATATATCATGTTGTGATAAGTGCTCTGAAGAAAAAGCATAATAAGGGATGGAGCATATACTCGTTTCCATAGAGCACCTTGGGCAGAAGTCAGAAGGAAATGAGAGAGCAAGCAGTTTGGATATCTGGGTATATCAGATGGTTAGCAGCTTCTAAAACGGTCCCTAATGATCTCCGGCTCCTGGTATTCATGTCCTGTGTAGGCTCCTTCTCTTGAGTGTAAGCTGACTTACTGACTCTCTCCTAAAGGAAAGAATAGGGCCAGGTTTGGTGGCTCATTCTTGTAATCCCAGCGTTTTGGGAGGCTGAGGCAGGAGGATCACCTGAGGTTAGGAGTTCGAGACCAGCCTAGCCAACATGGTGAAAACCTGTCCCTACTAAAAATACAAAAATTAGCCAGGTGTGGTGGCACATACCTGTAATCCCAGCTACTCGGGAAGGCTGAGGCAGGAGAATTCCATGAACCAGGAGGCAGAGGTTGCACTGAACTGAGATC